ATATATATAATTATCACAAACTGAAATATAAAATTAGACTAAAATTACATCAGTCGTATAAACTAAATCACTCTATGTTAAATCCTAATTTTTAAAAAACAATACCCAAAATATATTTCACCAAATAATTGTTTATTTAACTTCCTAAAAAATCAAATTTACCTGCGCTCCATTTGTCCAATAGGCTTTGTAACCATTATCTTGTTTTGGATTATGAGAAGCTGTTATCATTAAACCAGCATCACATTTGAGCTGTATTGTTGCATAAGACTGTAATTTTCACATTTCATCAAATTACCTTTTCTTCATTTATTAATTCCAGAAATTAACATCCAGAAAACATTTAAACAGTCCAATTTCGAAACGATAAATTTTTTAGGGAGACTTCCGTCATTGCAACTCAACTAGAGAATGTACAAAAAAAAGTTACTTACCACAAGAGGTGTTGGACAACATTTCGAGAATAGATAAACTTTGATCCTATTATGAACAAATATATTCGCAGCCAATTTAGCCCAACTAAAAGTTACAAATCGATTGTTGAAAATTGCTCTCTGTTAAATCAACATATAATATGTTTTAGGAATTGTAAAAGAATCAAGAAAACATTGCGTGCTTTGATTAGTAAAGAAGAGGCAATCCAAATCGTCAAAACACAATCATCTGAAGGAATTTACAAATGTTTCTGGACGTTTCAAAATTATAAATTCCTTTTATAAAATAACTGAGAGAAAACACCGCCTGTTTAGCCTTTCTTTTTTCCAGTGAAATAATACAATTACTTCAAAGGAAAAAGGAAGTGGATAAGATAGATAATAAAATAACTGAGAACCGTTCACTGTTGTAACGACCATCATAACCAATGGCGACACCATTGCTTTCACGATTATACACATGTTTTAAGTGCATGGCAAAGCCATTGGTTAGCATCAGTATTGTCAAATCATTTAGCCGACAAAAACCAGCTTCCATTTTTGTTCGCACACCTGAAAAAACCTTGCTAACAAAATGATTCTACATGAACAATTAAATTTTTTATTTAAACTAACTTTTAATATGGATATATGAGTTAAAGTGAACAGTATCGTGCTGGTATAATGAACTGCGTGCAGAAAATGTTCTATGGTTCAGAGACTAGTTACGCTATGATGAAGCAACACAATGAGCTTAATGTATTGAAGCACGAACAGACCCAACTTTTTTACTTCCACGTTCTATTCTTAAGCACTTGGATTTTGAATTGTAAAATAATCAAAAGTTGAAATGAAACGATTTCTACAATAATTCATCATCAATTTAATGAAACAAACTTCTTTTTTAAGGAATGTTCTATTTTAACTCCGGGCAAAGAGAAAAGGAAAACTAACTCCCCCGTGCTTTGGGATATAAACTAAAGTTTATTGAAATGAAGTGAAAAATTAATGTCTTCAGATACATTACTGAAAATTAATTTTGAGTGGAAAATTCATTCCGTACGCGAAATAAACCCAAAATAAAACATACCAGCTGTGCCAAATGACAGCTTGCCACACATTCTTGATTTCAACTCGTCGATATCTTTTTTTTTCCACAGTTCATCAATTTCCGCATGACTTTGTTTGTTCTAAAAAAATAGATTTGTTGAAATGGCCCTGAGCTTTAATTAGTAATATTTCAAATAATTGTAACCTATGTTGTAATAATAAGACCAACAAGCAGAAAATAATTTAATTAAAAAAACAAACTTCATTAAATGGTAGCTGCTGTTGCTGCAGTCAAATGTTCTATTCATAATTTTGAGTAACCTTATATTTTTATATTTTCAGTTTACAAAAAAAAGAAATTATTATAAATTTTACCAATAAACTTTATCCCTACCAAAAGGAATCCATTTCGAAATATAGGTTACAATTATTTGTGTGTTGTTAATAAAATAAACAAAAATTTACTATACTCTATAGCACGAAAATATAGAATTAAAAGACAGTACCAATGAGAAGTTATACTATCAATTAAAATTGAAAATAAAGTCATACATTGTCCCATTTCAACCAATTTGCAGTGAGCATTTCGTAATCTTCCATCTTTATCTATCTTTATCGATAGATTATCACCAATCGTTCCTACATAGAAAAATGATTTGACATTCAAAAATTCTCCTAATTTACCAAAATATTCAAACGGCACTAGAGAGCAATTAATTATTAGCAAAGAATCGGTCAAAAATATCCAGCATGAGGAAGCTATCAGATTCAAATTATCAAATGAAAACTTATTCAAATTCTGTTGCAAAATTCCTGAATGATATTTAACCATAAATGATGAAATATTAATCCTATTATAGTATATTCATCTACCCTTCACATTAAAGGATTTAACATTATGCAATAAATAACTTGCAAGTAAAAAGCTCAGAACGAGTGTAAATGAATGGAAAAGTGACTAATTAGTGAGAATAATAGTTGTAGAGGAGAGTGAAGGAAATGGTGGACAAGAAAGGTAGAACGAAGGGCAGACAGGAGAGGAACCGAGAAGTATATGTGCAATAGCGCTATCGGTATCAAGCATATTATGTCAGCGAATTGGCAATGATTACAACAATGGCAGGTAACTAGACGAAGTTGTTCAAATTCACCACGAATAGCGACATACAGAAGATTTGCCAATGACATGCTATGACATTGAAAATTTTACTCCAAAAATAAATTGGACAAACCCATGTCAAGTCATACACCTTTTCAGGAAGAGAAAGCCAAAACTTTCATTCTCATTACAAACAATATTCACATGTGCAATAATATTTGACAACAGAAGCAGGGAGCAATCATGTATCGATCTTGAAATCAGACATGAGAGATACAGTGTTACTCATATATATCTTCCTCGCCAGTTAATGCAGTAACCAGTGTGATATCAAAAATATTTTATCGATTGCGGGAGAAGAGATGTCTCACAAAATGTATAAAAATGACTTCTTAATATCAACTATAAAGCATTCTATAAGTTAGCAAAAATTAATTAATCATAGTTATAAGAAGAATGTCCTTAATCAACAATTAGCTGAAAAAAGACCATTAAAACATTTTTTTAAAAGGTAAAAAAAAGATATTTGATTTTTAAACTACTACCATCAATAACATCTACGACAACTGGCTCCTGTAATAGTTATTCCCTCCATCAACAACATCTACGACAACTGGCTCCTGTAATAGTTATTCTCCCTCCTCTTCTTCTCTTTTCCCTTCTCTTTTGTGAACTTTGGATTCAGCAATGTACATGTTTAAAAAAAGAAATGAATTATAAACAATCTACAACCTTCATAGACCACACATCATTTGATCAAATCACAGAAGCAAACATATTCACTGCAAACAACGCAATACATATATTCAATAATATACATGATTTTCTCTGATAAGTGAACTTATTGATGTTGTAACTCTCGGATCATCATCAGATGGTTTGTAATCCTCCGTTGACTTAATTGTTGCGACAAGACTCCATTTCTTCAATAAATTTTCTAAAAAACAGTTTCAATTTATTAAATAAAAATCGACATTTTTTCCAAATTACTTTAGCTTAATTATGGCATGTAAAAGAACTGCAATGGAAAATGTATATCGGAAAGCGCTTTACTTACCTTTCCATAACCGCACGTATCCATCTGAGCTTCCAGTTGTTAAGATTGTTCCAGTTATATTCCATGCCAAGCGCCAAACCTATAATATTTTCTGACTTCAATTACTATATAAATATCTACAGTAAGTTGATACAGATTTGTAGCCACTTTTTGCATGATAATGTCGTGGACATTAAAAATATTGTACTGAATCAGTGAAGGGTTCCAAAATGAGTGGTATCTCTCATTTTCAACATATGCCATTGTATATTTAAATATTAGTGAAGAATAAGAAATTAAAAATAACAGTAGAAAACCTGAACAGGTGAATGAGATGGATTTTCAAGTGCTTCCAACTGTATCACGTTGTATTCAGTTGGTCCACCTCGCTCAATCGAATCAACATTAAAACCAGTTGTTTTCCCTGCCTCACTCAACTTGAAGATGCAAATGTCTTTAGAACCAACAGCGAGCAAATGATATGATCGTCCGGCAGGTGGCGCAAAAGCAATGTCCGTCACCGGCTCAGTCAGTTTTAAAGATGGAGTATTCAATAACTGCCATTTTCTAAAAATGCAAACCTCTTGCAAACTGCCAATGAATATGTTATTTAGAACAAGAATTTTACTAATTCCGAATCAAAAAATCGACGCGGTCATAACAAGATGTAATAAAAGTGATGGAGTAGCTCTAAAAGTGATGGAGCATCAATAAGAAAGACCGAAGATTGTCATGATATTCATATACAACCACTCGTTTTCCAGTTGTATGTGCATCATCCGATCCGACAGCAATAAGCGGTTTTGTAAGGCGATGTGTACTCCATGAGAGGCAACTACAGCGATATCGAAAAACGACTATATCCTGATTCAGGCTCCACATCGATAAATTCATAATATCTGGAGCTTCGTACACTCGTAATATTCCTTGGGAAGACACAGTTGCCTATAAACAGTGCTTTTTATTAAGACAAAAATAACCATGTATCTATGCCTAAAATTCATACGCTAAATCCAGCTTTTATGCTCATATTTCACTGAAATGTGAACAAATTCACTACAAAACTCATCTTATTCACTAGTGCTTAAAAAAAGCACTAGTGAATAAATGAGGTGTCTCAAAATACTCAAGTTGCTTACAAGCATTAATCCAAGATGCCTTGGAGCAAACTTAATATCAGTAACATTGTGACGACTATCAACAAGTTGACAACAACGTCTCCAGCGTGCTTCTTGTTGTTTCTGGCCACTATGTAGAGCATTTCTTGTTATTGTCTTAATCGGTTGACATACTGCAATATACAGCTTTATCCTTAAATTTCAAGCAAATAGTAACCAAGTTAAAAAAATATATTTTACGGAATACATCCTTTTCTTCGAACTGTTTCGTAAATAAATCATTCTCACGGATACATACTACAAACTTTACTACAATCAGCTTAATAAATTTTAAGATAAAAATTTAGAGAACTCGTTTCCTCCCATATCGTTACACTTCGATCAAACGAACATGTAGCCAAAATTTGTCCAAATTCAGGATGCGCCCAAATTACTTTCCAAACAGGTCCACCATGACTCTGTAATGGAAGAATGTAAAAAGTACTTTTGATTTCTATCAACACGATAACTGGCATACGATCCCTATATAATTAAATACGAAACCAATTTATTTTGCTAATGTTGCACACTACTGGAAATGATCGAACATGAGGAAGCATAGAATTTTATACTTTGTTGCTATTATTAAAGAATAATTGAAAGTACCGGTAAGATGGTCAATCGAAGAAAATTAAATTTAAACCAATCGTAAGCACCTTCCATGAAGCTGACTTAATCCAGCTACCATTTGGTGACAAATTCCATACACACACCATCATATCACTGGAAGATGTAGCAATCCGTCTTCCATGAAAATCGAACGCAACATGGTGAATGAGATCACGTTGTTGATCGTTGAATATTATTGATGTTGAGAATTGTTCCGATGATGACGCCATTTGTTTTCAGTCTCAAATGAAACTGTAGAAGAAATTTCATTGTCAACTATCATAAATATTTCAAGGAGAAAGGAACAAGACTTTTTTCTAGAAATGAATACATAAAATACTAATTTGAAACCAATATTTATTTACAGAAATTGCAATTGACATACAATTTCGAGACGTACACGAGGTGAAAAACTTATATACCTTGGATAATATAAACGTCTGACTTCACACCGTTTAAAACTCAAATAATGATAAGGAGAAAATACCGCGGATTAGTAATTTGCGGTTCGGACTGCAAGTGAGCTCAGCTCAGATTGAGTGAAATGAGCCATTCCCTCAATGTTCAAATATTTGGAAGTTATTGAAGAAATCGTAGATTGAATCTCGACTTATTGAAAGAAATGAAATACTAATGCGGAATTTATCATTTAAGTGCCACTGATCAGCACGAAATAATTGAAAAACGGAAGAATTAATAGAAAAAGTGAGTGACAAAGAATTCTTTGATGAGATGAAATCAAATTAAATAAAGCTGTGATGAAAATAAAGATTAAAATACCAATTCTGTTTTTGATTCCTTTTTGTTAAGATTTAATTAGCTATCGAAATGCTCAACAATACCGGAAGTATCATTTTTGATTTAGCCGAGAAATGATTTTGAATGACAATCTGTTGTTACCATGGAAATATTTGAGCATCTACAGATTTGCATTATTGATGGATATCTTTGATACGGAAATTGCACTTGTTGGTATTGTTCTATTTATATCTGCTGCTTATTTCATCCTTGTTATTATTATTTTCTGCATTTGTATTCGATTTCAGGTCGGTTAGTTTTTTCGTAATCTGAGGAGTTTCTGTTAGGAAATATATAAGTGGGCAGTGTAAGGCTTTTGGAGTATTTCCGCATATCTGTTGTAAATATAATTTCTATTACAGCCGGATCGGTTTACTCAATCCCGTAAGGCACGCCGGCTCGAAGATGGAACATCACATGCAACATCACATTCTTATTTGGATTGCTCCTGCATCACGAAATGTTGTCCATGCCCAGTTTTTAGTTTCCGACAATTCTTGAAATCTTTTTGCTGTGACGCAGTGGGTTCTTTTTTTGCTTCATACATTTGAAATTTTTTTAAAACAAAAAATCCTAAATCATAAAACTTTTCCTCCTGCAGCTTTTCGGAAATTCCATTGTATAAAAAAAAAAACTCGTCATTCAATACATAATGTCTTAATTTGTCAGCAATTCGTGTTACAGTTTAGAATAAGTGTTAAAACTATATCAAACTATATGTGTAAATAATTCGCATGTGCAAATTGCAGGAAAAATTGCGATATAGTGTGAACTGCGAATGTATACGACCAGCCATACATGGTTCACGAAATTCCGAAAGTTTAAATCTCGTATGCTGCTAAGTTTCTGGTAGCATTTTAAAAAAAAAAAAAAAAAACAAACAAACGTCAATCCCCTCGTTTTACTATCCTTCTCCACATAAATATATTTTCAACTTTATTACTGCACTTCTTATACCATCTAAACATAATCCTCTTAAAATCCATCATCTTTTAGACTAACAGGCAAAATGCACCTAATTCACAAGGGAAGTATAAAATGTTACGTTTATGTTTGTCCTTCAATCCGCGAGCGCTCTTGAGCACATTACATTTGAGATGCTTTAGTTCTGCTTCAACTTAACAGAAAATCTGTTTATACTTCAACAGGTGAAAAAAGCGCTTACGCTGCGCCATATCTGTAAGGATGTAACAATGACAAAGCATAAGTACTTTTTATTTTGACAATGTAGACAATATAATGCAAAGAACAAAGAGGATGACACAATCGCGTATTTGAGTTATATCATAGCAGCACACATGAATGTTGAAGGTAAGGAAAGGATTCAACTGAGAAAACGGTTTATTGAATGTGGAGAAATTAAAGGAAAACGGTAAATCTCGATCTACTTTTCATCATGGTAAATAAAAAGTTTTTTAGCAAAATATTTCGTATGTTCGCTTTGTTTTTCTGGGACAGAATCAATTACGTTTTTTTGATTGGTTGGTCCATGCGCTACCAGCATACTTCATGCTGTAGAGCGAATACGCCACGATAATCAGCTAATTAACAATTCTCGCAATTTTTGTATGGAATTAGCTGGTCAATATAAGTCAGCAAAGAGAGCTAACAGTAACAGAGAGAGAGAAAGAAAGAGAGAAAGAAAGAGGTGAGTAAATGTGTGCATCAGTTAACAAAATAAAATATCAGATTCGTGCGCAGCATTAATTCTGCCCACAAAAAAGCAAACATTAAGGAATACAGAAAAATCTTGATTTTCACATATAAAAAAGGCACAAAACATGAACAAAGAAATAGGAAATTTCAAAACTGAAACAAAAATCGTAGTTTACAAAACCCATAAATAGAAAAGCGTTCAGAAAACTGATTTCATTCGCAATATCAAAAATCACAAATTTTATATGGGAAAACCTTCCCAAAGAAATACGTAAGCTTACTAATATTTTTTGCCAAAGTATCAGTTAATGCTAATTTGTTAATTTTAATGCTAATTTTTCTTTCTCTTTAATCGATATAATAACTCTAACATGATGAACTATATTAAGCATTATCTTTGTTTAAAGCAATTCTTTTAAAAAATTGCAATGCGGCAGTATCTTCAGTTGGCAAAAATTATTTTTAAGAAAAATACAGATATCATATACACAGAATCTTATCCTATTTAAAAAATGCTTCATTCAAACCGTTATTCAGACGCTATCCACGTACATACACATTTTTTGCAGGAAAATCTTTCTTTTCTCACTTATCTAAGCCTTTTGTCTCCAACCACTTTAAGTTTCTTTTAAATATAATACATAATCACTACAGCAGATTCGGAAAGATTTTTTCTAAAAATGAATGACTGTGGGCAATATGCCAATAAAAAGAAAAAAGAATAGGAAGGATAAAGACGAAACAAAATATAGGAAATGAAATGAAGAAAAATTAAGTTTTAATAAAACTTCCCTCCTCTTATGGCATTGGTTTCCGAACCGTTTCAAATAATTATCATTATACGTACATAAATCACTGAAGTGATTTAAAGCATTACATTAGAAAATAGAATAAGAAAATGGAAGTAGCTAACAATAAATCATGTTTCAACATAAAGTTCAATCCAAAAAATATATCAAGGCTATTTGTGTGGAGGCTGCTCACTCCTGACACAAAGATTTCCATTCAACTTTTACCTGTCTTGCAATTCAATTCACTTTTTTCCTGAAAAACTTCGACAGTTAATAAGATATACAATTTTTCTGCCGTATTAAATTCGCAGAAATTAAATGATTTAAAACTTGAAAAATTCATGCACAAATTCGATATGCTGTTTATATAGCTATCGTAAACAAAGCACTAGCGATAATAGTTTTTAAATGTTGTTTGAATCTGAAAGAAGAAAATGGTCGCGCGGCACGGGGACAAAAAAAATGAAAGCAAAACTTGATAAAAAGAAAACTCGGTAAATCAGAATAGGTGAAATTTGCAACATAAAGTCCTAAGATAGCAATCTTCCCAGTAATAACGCAGTTCTACTTCGAGCACGACCTTGACTTCTTGAAGAGACTGACGACGTCAGCTGTAAACTACTTCGTTTTCCCCAACCGATGATTCGGCTGCGGATACTTCGATTCGACTAGCCTTCAGCTCTTAGTACAAGATAATAGCTTTTCTGCTTGCTTGATGCTTCCAGGAACATATCTGCGTAATTTAGTACTAAACAACAGTATCCATATCTAATGAGATCAGATTATGATGCAATCGCAACTCAAAATTCAAAATTTTAAAGAAGAAATTAGGAAAACCACAGCACTTCAGAGAAATGTAAGGTAGTCTGATAAAAAAGAAGAGATAAACTAGTTGATCAATTTCTTGGAAATAAACAAGGAAAGAAACAGCATCTTTAGAATTCAAATAACATATTATAAAAGCCAGATGAATGCCATGAAATCCCTCCAAAAGTCCAAAATAATCGTATAGTGGTATAAATTTGAGGATATTACGTAATTTCAATGCCTAATATTGTCATCTTATCAATAATTTCAAATAATTCTTAATGAAAAATGATAAATATGAGTAGCATGCTGCTATACTATACTTCACATCATAATTCATTATAGATGAAATACTAGGAAGTTAGGAACTGTTCTCCACAGCTGTTTTGAAGGATAAGTAATCCAGTCAAAAAGGTAAGTAATCTCCTCTTCCTCTCATCCTCATTGAAAATTGACATCAGAAACATCTAACTCCAGTACAATAATGTTATCTTAAAGCAGAAAAAAGAAAAAGAGCAAGCCATGCAAAATAAATCTAACACTGAAAAGGCTCAGCTGAGATAGTGAAGCCCTGTTGGCTGTTTAACTTTTTCCACATAATTTGCAGGTAACATTCCCCACTGCAGCGTTCTCTGCACAGTGCCTGTTAACCAGCCTTCATCAACCTTCTGGCAATTCACAATGATATCGCCTTCAACGAATGTCACCTGAAATTAAAAAATTCATTTCCAAATATCATAACTGACGAACGAACTAATTATATAACAAATATCAACTAATTTTAGAATAAAATAAACACAGCTATTCGATGTTCTCTATTCTAAGATCTTTTCCAGAGTTGGAAAGCTACTAGCATCGTATCACACTAATAGCTTACTTGTCCTAGTTTCACTGGCCAATTCTAGACTATTTTAAACTTTTCCAATATATTACAAATCTTCGCGTCTTTCTGCAACACTAATTGCTGCAAAGGCTATACCCTTGATGTTCTCATTCATTACGAAATAAATAAACTATAATTTCAAAATCAAATTACTCACCTCATCTTTATCAGCAGCGGTGTAATCATAAAGTGCTTTCACTGCAAAGCCCACTTCTTTCGTACTTGATCGACCAATTCCTTTTATATTCGAACCAGTTGTTCCGGCATTTGAAGCTGACAGTTGACCTGAAACCAAAATTTTTATAAAATCAGCATAAAAGTTAAACCTTCAGAGCTAACCAAAGATATATGTAGTTCAAAAAATCCGTTATATAAGATTTGAACTTAAATCTTTCCAAAGTTGTTACAATAGAGCAAATATTATAAAGCACTCTTTGTTCTTCATTACTGATTTTGAACAAAATTTATACTGTCATACTTTTCCTTTTAAATATTTGGAAAATACATTCTTATATCATTCAAACTTTTAAACATGAGAAATTCAGCAAAAATAATACACAGCACATTAGTTTTCACTGAATGACGATGAATTTAAGCATATGCATACTTTTGCACTCTCTCGATTTCCTACTACTCAAAATACAGGATTAATCGATACAATTACATCTACTAATAATTAATCTCCTTATTCGCAAAACTATTGCAAAAAAAATTTTTTGTGCGGAAAATAAGAAATAAAAAGCAGAAAAACGAATTAAAATCAAAACGGAAAAAATGTATTTACTGGAATAGAAATGATTGTACCTGCTCGACTCGATCCTACCGTTCCCCAATTTCCATTTAAAGGATCGTAATCAGCTATGCTGCCAACCTGACGCTGCTGGATAGGCACTATAATAATTGAGTATATTTAGAACGCAGTAGTGGGTAATTAAATTACCTCTGTGTACACTTTCTCATCCCATAGAAGAAAAGCTGAAATTGAAAAAAATTTTCAACACATTCAATTTTTCTTGAACAGTAACTTACAACAGCTATTCTTAAAAGTCTTTCTATAAAAATTTATCCTTCTATTTCAAGCTACTCTTAAATGATATTTGAATACGTAGAAGAAAGCGCGCATAAAAGGAAATCTTTTTCGATACTGAAATACTTGACAAAAAAATCTTTAGAAATCCTCTTATCCATAACTTAAAATTATCCTTACAGCGGAAACAAAACAAAGTATTAGCAAAGAAATCATTTGTTGTTAAACAATTCTTACACGAAAAAACTTGGGCATTCACATACAAACAGTAATGCTAATAAAAAGGTTTTCAAAAATTTCAAATGAAGCAGGCACCAAATATCTTTGCATTCGACCTTTTTTATGTTACACTTATGGTCTTGTATTTACTGTCACGTTAATGTTTAATCTTATTTTGAAACTTAAATGATTATATTTCAATATCCAATTAGAAGATAATTTATAAAAACATTTTCTGTATTCATTAAAAAGCCGAACGGAATAAAATGGTGAAAAACGAAACAGCTCAGAAATTTCTTTTCAAACCTACAACAAATCTATATTTCTAGATATCCGTGTATTTTTCGAATAATTTTCCGAAAATGCATGATATTTTTACAGACCGATATTAATATATAGATACCTTTGCCACCTTGTTCGGATGAATAAATTAGAGTTCCGGATTGTCGAGCAAGTTTGCTGGAATACGGCGTTGTTGGTTGATGAACAGCAGCAGATAAGGGCGGGGCATACGTTGAAGGTGATTCAGGCACATTATTAGCATTCAAAGATACTGAAAGCGCATGCAAATGACTAATTGGGTTTGTGAATAGGAATTAAGAGTTGAACAGAGAAAGAAACAAATAAGCATTTTTCAAGCAATTAAGGTAAATCCAGACAAGGTATATATGTGACATAGAAATGTCAATCTTCTTGAACTTTTGAGATAGATCACTCTATCACAGAACTAGCGGCAACACCTAACTTAAAATAATGCTATCCTTGCTAAAAAAGCTCAGTGGTTCAATGTTTGTCGATCACCATATGAAAGAGATATCTTAATTGAGAAAAGAATCAGTGACCACAGCTAAGAATTTTATAGGCTTCATTTTTTTCACCTCTTCTCTCCCTTCTCCGCTTCTCCCCATTTTATTCCGTTTTTCCGCCTAGTGTTTGCAAACTAGTTCAGCGATGAATTCGAAGTACAATCAAACTTAAAGTAGCAATTTTCTGTTTTATAGGTGCCTCTTCCGGCGAAAAATTTGCATTCCTTTTCAACCTTTACAGCCTCAAGGTTATTGAGAATGATCAAGAAATGAGGAATAAAATAAGAATGTAATTAACATCACAAAAAGCCTTCAAAATGATAGTCATTTAGTAAGGCAACAAACATTTGAAGCGTGAGCTTGCAATATTAGCCATTAAATATCGACTTCTCAATATGAAGTTTTTTCAAAACATTCTTTCTAAACTTCTTAAAGGTTTTCAAAACATCCTAAACTTCTTGAGCTTTACTTTGTCATTAATGTAAATAAATCCCTACAAGCTACATGAGGAAAAGCATTAACAATAAAGTTAGAATTACAGAAAGGACGGAAAAAACTGAAGCGATTTGAAAAAATCTCTCCTATTTCTTGAAATATTAAAATAATCAATTTTTTGAAATAGATAAAATCCAAGCAAACGGAAAAAACAATAATCATTACTAAGTTCGTAGCAAAGTATTTTCGACGCTATATATTAATTTTTTATCAAAGATACTGGCACATTAAATTTCTGTTTCAGATATTATCATTAATTTGGAACTAAGTGAAGTAATCAATTCTAATAGATCAAACTTCGCTGTAGAAAATCTTGTAATAAAAAAACTGATATCCCATTTCCAGCAAAAAAAAAAAATAAAATTGAAAAAAAAAAAAACCTCCGCCATTAGAAATGTTTTGCTGTTCTGGCTGGGGTCGAATCTCATCTTGTAACTTCTTTTTGTTCTGTTCACCGTGATAAGCTACCTAAAAATTAGTATTTGATCCATGTAAAAATATGATCAATCTATAATATAGTTTGTGTTATGGCAAAAGAAATTTCATTTTAATCTATACATATCTTATGTGGTCATCAAGTATGAATTATAATCAAAATAATTTGTAATTTCTAACTGAAACTACTTGATATTAATATTTTGCACATTTCCCCTTTCACGTTACTTAATCACACATACATCGTACCTGAGACTGAATCTTGGTGTTCTGAAGATGCCGAGTCAGTTCGGGATCATCCGCCACTTGGATTCTATGTCCTTTCGATTTCTCGAATTCTTCGTGATACTTAATCTGAAATTCATCATTTTGGGAAGTAAAAATGCAAAGTGTGTTCGCCTTGTATGGAAAATGGACAAACAAAATCACAAATTGCTCAAGTTTCATTTTGAAGCAGTTTAAACCAAGTCCTTCATAATAAATCATTTATCAAACAAAACTCACATTTTTTCTTCTTACAAAACTTAAGACTAGATTTTGGTGATCATGCTTCAAACTGGATTTACAACTTAACTTCATATGGAAAAACTCCCCACACGTATTAGTTAACCGTAGTCAAACCTCAAACGTAAGGACATTACTCAAAAAAGGAAGCAAATCATATAAACAAAAAACATGAAATCAAGATATACCTGACTCTGCAATCTGGTATTTTCTGCTAGACGCTTCATTTCCGGCGTATCGACAACCACTGACGCTACCGTTTTTGGATAATGACTGAAAAATGTGGGAAAAAAATAACAATATTAAGGATTTTAAAAAAAATCAATATTGAAAAAAATAAAAGCAATAAAATTTACGGTTCGCAGTACGGCATTTTATCATATCCTTTATAATTTTTCATATTCAAAACCATGCCACATACTGTGCATCTGAAGCATCCTTTATGCCAAACCTAAAATAGATTGTTGAATGGAAGTACTGCCAGTCATATCAATCAAATTTTATTAAAATATGTTTAAATAGTTAAATTAAATTTAACAATACACTGCTCTTACTTCTCTAAAAATGGTGTCTGTTTATAAAACAAAATAAAACTTAGAAAATAAAAGGAAAAGTAAAATAAAGCGATTTAGAGGATTTTACTTTGTCCAGGCATTTCAATTCTTCAAGTGGATAAACGGTTTTACCGCACTCTTCTCTGGCACACTTCTTACTCATCTTTGCAAACAGTTGGTATGAAATATTTCACCAATCTTCAGACCTGAAAAAATAATTATATAAAAAGAACTCGACAAGTTTAAAAATAATTAAGCCAAAGCACAGAATAGAATTCAACCTAAAAAGAATATTCGGAAAGTGGCAAAAAGAAGCTCATCGAAAAGTCGATACACGGCAAAATACAACAAAATGAGAAATCAAATTGACAGAAAACAACCAATCTAGAAAGTAATTCAGAAACTAAACATACAAAGAAAGGACACTTCAACAGTACATGGCGATTATCTGACTGAATAAATGCAAGAAAAAAAGAGCAAAAGACATAAATAGCAAAGAAAAGGAAGCAAAACAGAGACCGAGAATGGAAATTCGAATCGTCCCACCACTCCTACCCCCGCCCCGTTACCAATCGCCACAAGTCACATTTCACCTCGGGGACATCCAAACCGCGGCAAATCTATTTGAAAGTTTAAATGAGTGGCCCATTAAAATCAGTTATGAAATGTACTGAGTTTCATGGTGAATGTCTCAGTAATTGGTAATTCCTGAGGGACCGAATTGACATTTCGGGACGTACGGAGAACATACTGGAATGCTGCACAGGAAGAATAATATGAAGGGCTCCAAATGCCGGAAATCCTGAAATAAATACTAATGATGCCGGAAGACTGATTGGACATTACAGTATATAATGGCAATCGCATTAAAGCATTCAATCATCAATTCATTAGTAGTTGGAATGTTTAACAAAACCAGCACTGAAAAAGTGGAAACATGAGAAATGAGGATATATCATATTATTTCTTTAAAAAAATGAATAAGTTTTGAATTCAAAAAAAAATTAAAATTGGAATTTTAGAACTATTAAAATGAAGAATTTTCATAAAGAAAAAGGAGAGGTAATAAAATGACAGCATTAAATAGAATCAATTGACGGTTCAATTCAGTGACATATACAAAAAGTGATACTGTCAAGAGAATGATTTACCCATAAATACCATCCATAAAATTATTTCATTATTTCAATATATTCAAACATCACTTAACAAGAAAAACACACACACACACACACACACATACGTTCCTAACCAATCCAATATTGCTGTTCAATGACCAAATTATATTAATTATATCACAAATGTAAATTAAGCGTAAATTTCGTAATGTGAAATGATTAGCGATCAGATGAAATTACCGACCGATATTTTACTTTAAAATTAAATGAAATAACGTTGCAAAGAAGAGAAAATAAACTGGTGCGAGGAGCTACGATCTGCTTAAATAGTGTGGTTGAATCGAACAATAAGACTAATTAAAATGAAAATAATGTTACTGAGTAACAGCATAAAAAGGAGCATCTCAACGTGTCTAAACCTCCCTTCGCGTATCCTCTTTTTAATTATTGCTTCATTTATTCCTCCAATTTATCATTGGAAACATAAAATTGTCAAATGGCCTTCAAAGTGGAAGTAATCGTCATCACACGTTAAGTGAAACCCGATTCCACATCACATAAATCTCAATACCGACGTACTTCCTCCACCCAACCGACAGCACAGAACAAGTCGGATGAGAAGCGTTCGTTCGGATGAAGGTGCTGCTGAGCGATGGTGTGTGTATAGGAGGTGTTATAAGTGATTTCCAGGATGAATTTTTACTAAATGGTTGTTGAAGGGTGGAAGGTGTGCATTGTTACTGAGAAGAGATAAGTGAAGAGAAGGAAGAGGAATGTGAACTAAATGGATGATTCACAGGAGGAGGTGGCAAAGCCAAATGCAATTTTGAAAAAAAAATTTAAAAATATGTACACAAGAACACCTCAAACAACAATCTTCTCCTCTGCTATCGATGCTTTTGTATTTATCCGAATAACATAGCAGAATTGCGACAATAGGATAGCATACATATTGCTCGCGAGTAACAGAGTTCATTTTTTTAGTCAGGAAAATATCCGGAAAAGAAGCTGTAAATGCCTACATTATAGATGAAGTTAACGCAAATGTATATTGTCATAGAAGATTCTCAATGGGTCAGAAAAAATGAGGTCAGGAAGTTTGGAACACGACAACTTGAATTATCTAATAATTTCATTTATGTGGTCATTCATTGATAAGGAAAGGACAATCAGATGAGTCACGAAAGAAACTGCATGATATAGTCGTGTCAGTGTGAGATCATCGATAACGAGTGATAAATTCACATACGTGCGACGTGTCAAATGAATATCAATGTTGACGTAGGTAGAGTGGTCAGGATTTGACGTGTTATGATAGCTAAGTAGCATCAATCTCAAGTCCGAATGATAATGGCATAGAAGTAGCTGATTTAATAATTATTCAGAATCATGTTCGGCGTAAAATCATCTCACAGAAGTTAATGCTTCCCCAAATGCCAGAAGAGAGGATCCAATTAATGAGTCGTTGAGAAAGTGTAATCGTAAGTTTTTGCTTTGTACTTAAATTTCTGGCTAGATGAAGCACTTAAATCTGATCTAAATTTAATCTCAATTGTACAAATATCGATATCAGAGAGTAAACATAAACACTCAATCAGTCAAAGAGGAACTGACAAAAACTGAAAAAATGTGAAAATATATTGTTTATTGTCATAAAAAAATTTAGGAATAAGTGCAACATTTCATTTTTTCTGAGTAAAAAAATTTTCTCACTGAATGCTAATATTAGCAAATATTAACTGCATTAAAGCGCCGATTTTCTGAAAATTTTTCATCCATTCAAAGTTTTATATAATAAATACTTTTCTTTCTGAGAAAAAATCCAGTTTTAAGTTCATTTTACTGCTTAACTGTATTGTTGACAAATAATTTGTACTAATTCTCAAAAAAATTCTCTTACTTTTAGCCGCTTTCAAAAAAAAAAAGAAATCTGTGATTGAAAGAAATCTTCAAATATTCGAATATCAAACTTCATTTTTTCTAACGTAATTAACATCTGATATGCGTATTTCAAAATTAACGACTACAACTAAATTTTAGATTAATCATTATCTAATTTTACTTTAGAAGTCTTCGAAACTACATGAATTTCATCAAATAATTCTTGCCTTATTTTGACTATTTACCAAACATAAGTGTTTTGGTAACAAAAACAAACAAGCATCTCATTTCAAAGTCGGATATTTGAATATTTTCACTCATTTCGTTAATTTCTCTGGAAACAGTAGTAGTGATAATAATAGTATCGATAATAATAAAAGCAGTAATAGCAGTGGTAGCAGCGATAGTGATAATAGTAAAATAAATTCAAATATTAAGAACTAGAAAAGGTGTTATAGGAAAAACTAATATTGCATATATAATCAAGACGATGTAATCTTTGGTGGTCCGATAACATAAACAAGGTCATACATTGATGTGACATCCGACGAATTATTGTCGTCTTATTTATATCCTTCCTTTCACGACAAAATGTTCCGAATTTATCTCATACAATAATTGAGACCGTTTGAAAATACAATATGATGATTAAGTATGGAGGTAATTGTCGATCAAAATGTTTGTTTTGATGGTATTTGTAGAATTGTAGAATTTAAGAGTTAAAAATATAAATCAAATCAGTAAATTCAAATTGAATTAGAAGCAAAGTATTTAAATCCATTAATCTCTCTCTCTCTCTCTCTCTCTCTCTCCAAATATTTGTCAAGAAAACAAACAAAAGTTTACTCAAATCTAGGAAAATTGTTTTTATCCTTTCAGCTATTTATTATCCATCCATCCATCTTTTCTCAGTCCACAATCATTGATATTCTATTGTTGAAAAAATTCCTCTCCATCCTTCCATCTTAGAAAAAAAATGCCAAATAAATTTTAGCATTTTTTTTTTCTCGCAATAAATGATTTCTGATGAACTAATTAAAGCAGCACTTCCTTTTGCTTTCTGATGCAATTCATTTAACTCTGCCGTATTTCAAGCGAACTTCAAAAACAAAAAACTTGAACAAAATGTTTCCAGCGAAAAAGTTAAATTTTAGAATGTTAAAAATATCTTTAAGAAATATTACAATATAGTTAGAAAGGAAGAAATTTATATTGTAAGTAGCGCAACACTAGCAATTTCATAATTCAAAATTTTCCATTCTTTCAAATTTTAACTCAAACGGTAAAAAGCCAGTAGTAGAGAGAAAAGCGCTATAGAGATGTTTATAAAGAATAAATATTGGGCAAAAAGAATCTGCAAAAATCCTTGCTGCAATTCGTTCATAATTTTCTAATGAAAATCCACGATACGCTTATTCCGCTTAATATCCCTGTTACTGAATTGATATTATTTTCCTAATAGTTGAGCTAAAATTTGAAAATAAAAGAAAATTTGAATCAACACATCACAAAGAGTGCCTGCTTACAACATGAATACTTTTAGTAGAAATGATCGTCTATTTTTTTTCCCAAATTTTAAATTCAAATATAAAATTCAGTGAAGGAATTTCGGAGATTGGCTTAATTTAATGCTTAAATTTGACAAATAAAACTGCTGAAGAACAGATTTGTAAAATACAATTTGCAAAAGCATGTTGATTGGAAACAGGAAATATCATATGATGTCATAAAAAGTATTGTTAAAACTTCAATGATAACAAAACAAAAAGTGTCTGTAAGTGAAAAACAATTTTAAAGGTTGAAATTGCTTCAAAAACTAAACTGACATTTTAATACTTTTTTTCGTAAATCGATCAATAAGTTATAATTTAGCTAATTCAAACTGCACTTAAATGAATCATTGATAGAAAGAGTAATGAACAGCTGAAGCTATAATGTAATGTAAGATAGCATAAAGACATATTATCATTCTCCATCTCTTCGACTACGGCATATCATTTATCTGTCTCACTGCTATTACATTCAACGGTTAATAAAATCATTACTTAATTATGCAGATGTAGTAGTCCATCCTTCTTCCCTTCCTATACAACTCTTTTTGTATATTAAATTTGAATCGTGTCAATTTTCATTTATTTATTAAACTAATGGAAGGAAAAATAAA